AGAAACAAACTATGAGGTACCGTAGTTATTACAAATGGGTTACCCAAACAGAACAGCTTTGGGGAATGTGTGTGTGGGGGTGGAAGGGGATGCTCCACCCCAGGCAGCTGTCAGTAGTTTTGAGTGGGCAGCTCCTATAAATGTATGTCATGTAAAATGTTTCAAATAAGCCAAGTAAACCTGTAAGGTGGCTGCACTTTAGAGTAAAATACAACCAGTACTTAACTTGATGGTGAATACGACAGGTCTCAATTATGATGAACTCAATATGCCTGACTGTGACAGAGGAACTCTAGATACTACGTTAAGGATATCTTCCCACCGATCCACTGAAATACTTCCAAAATAACTGGTTCCCACCTGCATTTACTCTGTTGGGGGAATTTACTGTATCTATGTGTTTAGCAAGTAAATGTGTAAAATAAGAGATTAGACCAACAGTGTGGGGTTGCCTGAACTAAAGTTTCAAACACTGAAGTAGAGTCAATACTTTAAGCTTGAATTCTTCCCTGGACCTGTAAGGCATGGCAAAGCTGCAGCATTGGTAGAAAACTTGTCCAAAGAGTCCAAACTCTGCATTTGAGGACATGCCATTTAAATATATCACAGACACTGACAATTTTAGCCCATTGCCACTGAAGGAAAGATCTGAGCTGGAATACCTCAGGGAGAGATTCATTAAGTTAAAAAGAGATATATAGAGTGAGATTTCTAACACCAAGATGTAACTTAGCCATTGCAAATAGTTCAGGGCAAAGCTAGATTTCTTCAGCATCCCCCATATATAAGGCCTCTCTATACTGTCAAAGGCTTCAACAACAACGAGAGTCAGCAGGTTCCTATTTCCCCACATTGTCTGCATAGGCCTATATATTGAGAAAAACTCTGCAAAAATTGATCGTTGTTGACTTAGTGACATGAACTAAGTTTGGACGGGGCAGATGTTTTTTTTGAGATTGCCCTAGGCAGGTACTGTGCCAACACTTTAGCCAGGTTTTTAACATTGGTTGCACAGCTGCTGGATTACATAATCTGACTAAAAAAAAAAAAGACAAAAATCCATCCAGTTAAAAAAAAAAAAAAAAGTTATAATCCTTTACCCACTGTTGATCCAGTAAAAGGCAAAAAAAAAACACAGCAAAGCACGATCCAATTTGCTCTTGCAAGGGAAAAAAAAAGACCTTCCTGTTCCCCTGAGAAACAAATCGGATATTCCCTGGATCAACTTTACCTATAAATGTTAGTATCCAGTTATATTCTGTGTATCTAGGAAGGAATCCAGGCCTTTTTAAAAGCAATCCACTGAGCTGGCCAGAACCAGCTCTTGAGGGAGTCTATTCCACATTTTCACAGCTCTTACTGTAAAGAAACCTTTCCGTATTTGGAGATTAAATCTCTTTTCTTCCAGACATAAAGAGTGCCCCCTTGTCCTCTGTGATGCCCTCAGGGTGAATAACTCTACGAACTACTGATGTATTTATACATGTTGATCATTTCCCCCCTTAATCTCCTCTTCTCAAGAGAGAATAAATTCAGTTCCTCTAATCTTTTCTCATAGCTGATCGCCTCCATGCCTCTTATCAGTTTGGTTGCCCTTCTCTGCACTCTCCAGTTCCCCAATGTTCTTTTTGTGAATTGGTGCCGAAAACTGAACTGCATATTCCAGATGAGGTATTACTAATGCTTTGTACCAGGGTAAAATGATATCTCTCTCTCTGGAGTCTATACCTCTTAATACAAGAGAGGATTTTACCCGCTTTAGAAATTGCACCTTGGCATTGCATGCCATTACTAACCTTGTGATCTCCAGATTGTAAGCTCCAAGGAGCAGGACCCTCCTATCCCTCTTGTATTGAACTGTATTGTTGCTGTATTGTCTCCCTTTATACTGTAAAGCGCTGAGCAAACTGTTGGCGCTATATAAATCCTGTATAATAATAATCTAATCTACCAGAACTCCCAGATCCTTCTCCACCATTGATTCCCCCAGTTGTTCTCCCCCTAGTATGTATTCTTAGCCCCCAAGTGTATAACCTTACATTTATCAACACTGAAGCTTATTTTCCACATAGTTGCTTAATTAACCACTTGCCCTCCTGAGGATTTACCCCCTTCCTGACCAGGCCATTTTTTGCATTACGGTGTTGCATTACTATAACTGACAATTGCACGGTCATGCAACACTGTACTCAAATTAAATTTAAATCCTTTTTCCCCCCACGAATTGAGCTTTTTGTTTCGGTGGTATTTGGTCACCTGTGCGGTTTTTTATTTTTTGTGCTAAAAAAAAAAAAAAAAAAAAAGACTGAAAATTGAGAAAAAAAAACACATATTTTTGACTTTTTGCTATTAAACATGTCCAGTATAAAAATACAAAGCATCTAATTTCATCATAAATTTAGCCCAAGATGGATTCTGCTACATGTCTTTGCTTAAAAAAAAAAAAAATCCCAATACGTGTAAAATTATAGCATTTACAAATGGCGGTATAGATACAGGATTTTTTTTTTTCACTAGTAATGGCGGCGATCAGCGGCTTATATCAGGACTGCAGGAGGCATTCTGACACTGGGGGGAACTGATTGGTGTCACCGACATCCTCAGTGACACCAATTCAGTGATCGGTGCTAAAAAAAAAAAAAAAAAAAAAAAAAAAAAAAATGACTGTACTAATGGCACTGGGCAGGAAGGGGTTAACATGAGGGGCGATCAAAGGGGTAACTGTGTGCTGTTTTACTTGTGTCTGTGACCGTGTGCAAAGCAGTGTGAAGGAGCTGACAGGGAGGAGAACTGTTCTGTTTACAAACAGTGCTCCTCCCCATTGGAGATGCTCGGCAATCACTGGGCGCCAGCGAGTAATCACCAGTGGGGACCCGGTGATTGACAGCCACGGGCGCGAATGGTGGTGCAGGTAGGGCGGTTGCCCCCTACCCGGAAATTCAAAATCACGTATATATACACACGTGATTTTGCGCACCCCTGCCGTTCTGTAGCAGTATTTCTGCTATAGGGCGGTCGGGAAGCAGTTAAACAGTGCATTGAGGTCAGCTTGTAAATTGGAGACATCCTGTAAGGACGTTATTCCACTGCACAGCTTGGTGTCATTTGCAAAGACTGAAAAGTAAGGGTCCTAACACTGAACCTTTGGGCACACCACTAACAACCCTAGACCTATTCAGAGTATGAATTATTAACCATTACTCTCTGAATACGATCTTTTAGCCAGTTTTCTACCCATTTACATACAGATTTTTCCAAGCCTGTAGACTTTACCTTACACATTAGCCATGTGTAGGGAATTGTGTCAAACGATTTTGCAAAATCCAAGTATACCACATCCACTCCTCTGTCCAAGGTTTTTCTCACCTCCAGTGTCATTAGAACGGTGTCAGTATAAAGAATTTTTCACTAAGCACTGTATTACTACTGCCACTAGCAACATCAAATAGTGTCAGTTAGCGCCCCTCCCAACCAGGATATGCTAGCGTTAGATTGCCTGCACACTTGCGCTATAGGTTGCTGATCACCATTACTAGTATAGTGTTTGTATAGATCAATATATTGATCACGAACAGAACTATATTAGTGCCCCCTCAGTATACTGTCCCCAAAAACGCAGTGTTAGCAGGATCAGCCCTATTCGCTGCCAGCACTAGCATTTACCCCTCTGCTGTGTTTCACAGAAGATTTGTATCAATTGATTGTGGGCCAAAGCTAATCTATTTGCACAACTATACATCGCGACCCACCCAAATTCAGTTCTTACCAGATAATTTGCATGCAAACCTATCATGGTTTCCGAATTTAAAACTTTTTTAGGCCTAACCCTTAACATGTGCATTACAAAAAACAATGAATGGCGGTCATAATGGCCACAGACCCAATTCATCATATTCCCATATTCTCTGCTGCCATGGCCAGGCATGGATATGAGACGATAACGCGCCTCATGCATTTCAGTGATAACATGCTATTGAATAAAGAGAACATTACATATATTCCTAACAAGGACCAGTAACGTACTGTGAGTGGTCATACCAGTATGATGCCTGCAGCTACAGGCATCATCCTGGTATCGTTTTTTTTTTCAGCCGGTGGTCGGCTTTCATGTAAATGGGGACATTTGCCCACGCCTTTTTTCTCTGGTTTTATAAAACAATTGGGCAATATGTTGTGTTTTTGTACATTAAAATAAATAAAAGCGTTTTCCAAAATATCGCTGCGCAAATACTGTGTGATATAAAAAATTGCAACATCCACCGTTTTATTCTCTAGGATCTCTGCTTTAGGAAAAATACATCACATTTGGGGGTTTAAAGTAATTTTCTAGCCAAAAAAAAAAGTTTTTATTCAATAAAAACAAAAAAGTGTCAGAAAAGGCTTGGTCTTCAAGTGGTTAGTGGGTGATGTGTGGCATAAGCTTTTAATGTTGGCCCTGAAATTCCAGGATAGTAGAAGCACCCCTCCCCCCCCCAAATGACCCTATTTTGAAAAGTAGACACTCCAAGGTATTTACTAAGAGGCATAGCGAGTACTTTTCAGATCTCATTTGTGCCACACGTTTTTGGAAAATGAAGAAAGAAAACACAAATTTACTTCTTTCTTCTTCAAAACCTTGTGACAAAAAATTATACCTGCAAAGTACTCAGCATGCCCCTTATAGAATTCCTTAAAGTGTCTTCTTTCCAAAAGAGGGTGTTTGTATTATCTTGGTATTAGGGCCTCTGAAAATGTGATACGTAGTGCGAAAGTGACACGAGGAAATATGCCCATTGAAAGCCTGAAGGTGATCATTGGATTTTGGGGGCCTCTATGTGGCTAGGCTGCCAAAAAGTCTCTCACACTGGTATCCCCACAATCAAAAGAAGTAGCAGAATGTGTTTTGGGGGGTGTTATTCCACATACACTATATTGTCAAACGTGTTGCAATCCCCTCCAAATCATTGGATTCAGGTGTTCCAATCACCTCCATGCCCACAGGTGTAAAAACAATCCAGCACCTAGGCATGCAGACTGCTTGTACAAATATTTGTGAAAGAATAAGTCGCTCTCAGGAGCTCAGTGAATTCAAGCGTGGTACCGTGATAGGTTTTCACCTGTGCAATACGTCCATCCGTGAAACTTCTGTGCTACTAAATATCCCACGGTCAACTGCTGTGGTATTATAACAAAATGAAAGCAACTGGGAACAACAGCAACAACCACGTAAAATGACAAAGCGGGGTCAGCACATGTTGAAGCACAGAAGTCACCAACTGACTGCAGAGCCAATAGCTAAAGACCTCCAAACTTTGTGTGGCCTTCAGATTAGCACAACAGTGCGTAGAGAGTTTCATGGAATGGGTTTCCATGGCCGAGCATCTGCATCCAAGCCTTATATCACCAAGTGCAATGCAAAGCATCGGATGCAGTGGTGAAAAGCATGCTGCCACTGGGCTCTACAGCAATGGAGACGTGTTCTCTGGAGTAAAGAATCACACTTCTCTGTCTGACAATCCGATGGACGTATCTGGGTTCGGCGGTTGCCAGGAGAACGGTATTTGCCTGGCCGCATTGTGCCAAGTGTAAAGTTTGGTGCAGGGGGATTATGGTGTGGGGTTGTTTTTCAGGGGTTGGGCTTGGCCCCTTAGTTCCAGTGAAGGGAACTCTTAAGGCATCAGCATACCAAGACATTTTGGAAAATTTTATTCTCCCAACTTTGTGGGAACAGTTTGGGGATGGCCCCTTCCTGTTCCAACATGACCGACTAGGGCACAAAGCAAGGTCCATAAAGACATTGATGTCTGCGAGTTTGGGGTGGAGGAACTTGACTGGCTTGCACAGAGTCCTGGCCTCAACCCGATAGAACACCTTTGGGATGAATTAGAGCAGAGACTGAGAGCCAGGCCTTCTCGTCCGACATCAGTGCCGGACCTCATAAATCCGCTTGTGGAAGAATTGTGGAACATTCTTGTGGACACATTGTGGAACATTCCCATAGACACACTCCTAAACCTTGTGGACAGCCTTCCCAGAAGAGTTGAAGCTGTTATATCTGCAAAGCGTGGGCCAACTCAATATTGAACCCTACGGACTAAGACGTATGTTTATGTGTGTATAAAGGCAGACGCCCCAATACTTGTGGCAATATACCAATGGAACATGTGAGCAATAGATAATTTAATTGACAACTTGTAAAAAACAAACAATTTTTGTTATTTTCCAAAGATTTGTGGCAAAAAAATAAAAGCTTTCAAGGATTCGACATAACGCTCAGCAAATTCCTTAGACACCCCATCTACTTTCCAAAAAGGGGTCATTTGGGGGGGTTATTGTACTGCCCTCATATTTTAGCACCTTAAGAAATGTGATAGGCAGTCAAAGTAAAAGCTGCATAAATTCGAATATATATGTTTTGTACAAATTTTCTTTATTATGGTCAGGTCCTAAAAACAAAAACTTAGGCACATATTTATAATGTAATCTTTCATGCCAAAAGCAAGTGGAGAGCTAGTCTCTTTTTTTTACACTAATATATTCTCAGCTATGTTGAAAGAAACCGGTGATCTACAGAATTTAGAGTCATGATGTCAGTGATTCATTCATCAGGCAACTTGGTTTGAAGTTTCAATCAGACAAACAACCTTAAAGCAAGCTGCATTTGCTGGAAAGTCTCTGTAGCAAACGCATAGCACTATGCTCTCTTTCAAGAGAAAGAAAGCAGTGAAAAAAAACATACATATATACATACATACATACATACACACACACACATATATATATATATATATATATATATATATATATATATATATATATATATATAAAACCTTCAGCGCAATAAGACTTCCTAAATAAGTGTGCAGCTAGCATATAATGTGTTCCCACATGTATCTAAGTGAAATAAGCAAACAAAAATGCAGCACAACAATGAAATAAATATAATGGTGCTTGCAACCTTATACGTGCCCATATAAATGGTGACAATAAATCTGCTGTGCTTATGAGACTCAATATATGCTACTCATAATCTCTTCCAATAAGTACATATAAATTCCCATAAATTCTGCACATAAACAGCACCATGAATAAAACATAAATCGTGCAATACAATAAATAGTCATTTGTAGTGAACTCTTTAAATCCGTTATCACATCACACTACCTGTATATCACGATACAAATACAGCCAACGTAATATAATGTCAATAATGGTGAACTGAATCCGCAGTACTTCACGTGGACCAGTGTTGTCACACTACTGTATAAATGTGTACGGTGCCCGTGTCACCCCTAAGTGCTCTTCGACTTCCAACACACTTTTGTGCTCACCTCAAAGTTTGACCTATAATGACAGGTCAAACTGAACTTTTTCCCTTTTAACCCGGGAAGGTATACTGGTACACCGATCTTCCCACTCTTTGCCAGAACTTTTAAACAGATCCAAATTGTTCCGTATCCATGTAAAAAAAATGCTCAATATAGTGTAGTATGTATGATAAAATCAGCATTTATTAAACCGATATGTATTAACTCACATTAAAATGTGTCCTCCTGGAACACCACAGGGCTAAAAACTCACTATATCGTGCTCTCAGTAAAGTGTATGCTGTAATCCCTCTTTCAAAATGGCGGCACATGGACTTCCGGTTTACAGCTGGACATCGGCGTACCCTACGCATTATGTCACATCACGTGACTTCATAAGGAGGTGCACTGATGTGCACAGGAGCCTCGGCTGTCCCGGGTCTTTCTCCTTATTGTCTGAGGCTCAGCAACAGGAGACTTTGGCTCCCACTGCTGTCAATCACAGCCAGTGAGCCAATGAGGGGAGAGTGGGGGGTGGCCAAAGCCACGATTTTGTATGTCTTATGGATGCAGAGAGCAGGGCTTGGGAGTACCAGTGCCCCCATAGCAAGCTGCCTTCTACTGGAGGCACTGATCAAGGGGGAGGAGCCAGGAGCACCAGCGGGGGACACGAGAAGAAGAGGTCCAGGGCTGTCCTGTGCAAAATAATTGCACAGAGCTGGTAAGTATGACTTGCTCATTATTTAAAAAAAATAGAAAAACTCACCTTTAATATCACTTTAAAGACAGGGGTTAGAGCAAACCAGTCGAAAAGATGGTCAACTGAAACTTTGCATATAATGAAAAGTTAAGTTTCATCCTGAATACTCTCTATTAAGTCTCCCTAGTGGGTCTTTGTACATTATAGGTACACTCGTCGATAAAAAGGGAGGCATAGGAGGTGGATATAGAAGAGAATCACCCCCTTTAAAATAATCACATTTTGTTGCTTTGCTATTTACTCATTGCTACTTATAACATCCAAGTGAAAGATAGAACACCAACATGTCAGAAAAAATAAAACAAAATTCAAAAACAGAATGACTGAGTTGGAAAAAGGATCTCCCCTTGTGTTGGTGTTTTGTTGAACCACCTTTTGCTTTAATGCCACCCTTTAGTCTGTTGGGATATTGCTCTACCAACTTTGCAATATTTACCGACTCTTCATTGCAGAACTGCTCAAATGCAGTTAAATTTGATAGTAACCGTTTGTGGACTGCAGTCATTCCACAGATTTTCTATGGGGTTGACTTCTGGGCTCTGACCAGGCCATGCAAGGACATTCACCTTTTTCTCCTTCAACCACTGTATGCTCATTTTTGCTGTGTACTTTGGGTCATTGTCATGTTGGAAGGAAAACATTCTTCCAATTGACAAATTTCTGGCAGATTTTCCTCAAGAATTTGACAGCATTTTTTTCCCCATCCATTTTTCTTCCTATCCTGACAAGTGCTCAAGGTTCCTGCAGCAGAGAAACACCCCATTACAGGATATTACCACCTCCATGCTTTACTGTAGGAATGGTGTTATTTGGATGGTGAGCTGTATAGGATTTCCACCATATCATTTAGTGTTGAGACCAAATAATTCAAGTTTAGTCTCATCTGCCCTTACCACCTTTTTCTATGTGGCCTCAGAGCTGATTTGTACGTGTATGGTGTGGATTGCAGCTCTGGTTTTAGAGCTAATTGATACAGTAGCTTTTCATGTCAGGTTTACATCAGGTTCAGGACAGGATTAGCTCAGGATCTTATCCTGTTCACACATGTGGTTTAGAAAAGGTTCCCATAGAAGCCTGTAATCCACACCTGAACCTGAAGGCACTGCTCAGAAATCTGACATGACTCTTTCAAACCGCACTGAAACTGCACCACCAGTGCACCGTACATATGTGAACAGGCACCATAGGAAGCAATGTTTTTTCGTATGTCATGCGGATTGGATGCGGTTCAAACTGCATCCAATCCACAGATATGTGAACCGGCACTCAGAATCTTCAAGGTGCGTTTTGGCAAAGCTCAATCATGACTGTATGTGGCCTATCTTGAGGAGTGGCTTTTTTCTTGCAACCCTCCCATACAAGCCACATTTGTGCAGAATTTGTGATATTGTTGTCACATGCACACAATGACCACTCTCTGTTAGGGATGCACCAATACCCTTTTTAAATCAGCAAATACAAGTACTGATACTTTAGGTCAAGTACTTGCCAATACAGATTACCGATACTTTGCGGTTCAATTTGCATTAATGGACGCCAATTGCACCGCAAAGAATTGCATGCGATTTGAAGAATGCGATTCCCGTCAAAATCGCATGCAATTTCCCCACTGCACAAAAACAAACTCTATAGCACAAATGGAGAAAGAGTGATTAGGTCCCAAGCAAGGAGCCGAAGTCTCTGTATGGTAGATCCAGGTGTGTTAATCCACTTCTATAATGGCTGCAGCTCTTCTAACAGGGTATTGGATGTCTCTGTGCACTAAAACAACAAACAGAAGGCGCCGCCATCTAAGTGTATCAATTTAATTAAAAACAAGTAAAGGGAAGGGTTAAAATGCACTCACAAGGATGAGAGTAAATGGGCATATCATCAGTCCTTATTCACTGGCAAGGCTTTTGTGGACAGCAGGTGAATGGATGGATGGATAAGCTGATCCTTAAAACAGCTCTGCAGGATAGGAGGAATAAAGCTGGACTCTGTCAGAATGCAGATCAAGTCCACATGACCGGCTGTGTCTTCCTCCAGCAGCAAATATAGCCACACTGGAACGCAAGCCAGTGCTAGGACTGGAATCAGAAGTGACGTCGGGATGCATTTACGTAAAAGCGTGATGGGTTTGTCAAAGGGCTCTGAAACATGCTACCACCCATCACGCTTTGACGTCAATACATCCTGACGTCACTCCTGATTCCGGTCCTAGCGCTGGCTTGCGTTCTAGTGCGGTAATTTTAAGGGGAGGGGGGTGTTGGGTTGGGGGTTCGATACCCACTGTACAGTATATCACTCTAGGTCCCCATATCTCAGGATATACAGTACTATTTTCCTGACTTTTTTGTGTGTGTATAACTTGCGAGCCAAAACAAATATACCTCTATGGATCGCCAACATTTAACACATAACTCAAACTGTGCAAACTAATTAAATATCTATAAATGTTGTGCTCCCTACTACCACAATACATACATATATATATATATATATATATATATATATATATATATACACACACACACACACAC